AATGTGTGAAGCCAATTTCCGGTGTCCCCCACCGTGATAGTGCTTGAATATTGCAAAAAACTCACTCTAAAATCTTAGTAAGTGAGTGAGTGAGTATGGTTTTACCCCGCTTTTAGCAATATTCCAGCAATATCCTGGTGGTGGACACCAGAAATGGGCTTCACACATGGTACCCATGTCGGGAATCGAACCCGGGTCTTCGGCGTGACGAGCTAACGCTTTAACAACTAGGCTACCCGACCGCCCCTTCTAAAATCTTATTGCTAAGAAGATAGAAGAAGATGGTCCCATACCGAACGCCATAACATTGACTCAGGAAATGAGTAAACATGTATATATACTTTTAGTATGCACAGTAAATTATGATGCCACTTCAGAAACAAGACAAATTGTTCAAATAAGATTGTTTAAATTGTCATGAATAATTCCCTCTCTCAAATGTATAAACATACTTAAGAATTCTTTCTCAATGTTTAGTGGTAGACAGTTGCGTGTGAGAAATGTTTTTACAAGATGACAGATGACAGAGGTTGAATTCCTTCTCAATGTTTAGTGGTAGATAGTTGAGTGTGAAAAGTGTTTTTACAAGATGACAGATGACAAAGAATTTCTGGAGGTTCTTGTCAGGTCACCTTGAAGCCAATAACCTAATCACAGAGGCACTTAACAGTACAATGTATCCACAACCGATATCCTTGCAGCTGGGGCCCTCTTTGGGTTTTCTTACTATATAAAAGCCGACTGACTTTTTCAAGCTTATCCTTCTCCTCAACAACCTGCAGCGATCTCATCGAGAGCTTCCTAATTATTTGGCCACTTCCTTCTGTGGCCGAAGCCAATTTTCTTTATCTAAGATAAAATTATTTTAGGTTTTCTTTGGAGTTCTTAATTAGGAAAGGACACATCTGCAATGGGGAAAAGTTGATCTGGTTGGATGCCACTTTGAGCAATATTTTCAATTATATGATAGTGTGTGGGAGGAAGGACCAATGTGTCGTAGGTCTTAAACGTTTAACACTGTTGGTGTGGTGCTGATGGAGCAATTATGAGTCATAATGGGGGTGAATCTTTCGATGCTGGCAGGCTCCCCACAGCGAAAGCCTGTTCGCGGAGTTCTCTATACTGCCACTGTGACAGGCACAACCATGCATGGAGTTGAACCGACTGTTTGTTTACAAACAGGTGACGACTGTTGTCACTCTGAGTACTCTTCCAAAAGCTAAAATATTTTCTTTGTTTGTCAATTTAAATTCCCATTTAATTTCAACTATCCTGTGTTGGTGTCGTAAGAACGTAAGGTGAAAGTTGGGTGCTTTTTGTTGGTCTGCAATCTCAGTCCAATCTAATTAGACAAACAAATGTAACTTCATCTGGGAAATAGTAAGTCATTCAAAAACCTTTTTCCCAACTCACTAGAATTGTATTAAGAGACATACACAAAAAAATGAATGTCACTACATTTGGAGGGCAAATTTCATGATTTGTGTAATGGCCGTTACCACACTGGTTGCAGAAATGTTACCTGGAATGTAACAAAGGTGTCATGTGCTGAGGACCTTGCGATACTGGCAAAGAAGGGAGGTAACTCTGCACAGCAAATTGTGACTCCCCTGAAAGACCTGTGAGATAACAGTGCAGTTAAAATCCAGACAGCCTTGACATTTGGTGGATTAATGTTTAAACCAGATTTCTTCCAAATGAAAGCATGTGTTATTGATCATTCTGAAAAAAAAGGCTTATGCAGGTTCAGGTTTTGATGACAGTGACGAACAGCACAAAACATTTTTTTTTCCAAGTCCTTATCTGATTATCACCCAAACAGAAAGAAGACATTAATCACTTGAACATGTTGAATGAAATTTGATACTGGCCAACATTCATAAAAAGAAAACTATTGAATTTGCAATTATATCTTCACGGTTTTCTCATGTTATCATTTTACCTATAATCATGATAATTGTATTTGTTACTCTGGGCCTAAGACTTGCTGCCCCTTTTGGAAATCTAATTCAAGTTTTTAACTTTCTGAACTAGCTATATTCGTTATTGATTCTACAAGGCGTTCTTTCGAGGTGTTGGTGAGATTTTCCACTGTCGCACTTCTGAAATTGAAATGTTTGCACCCCAAACTTGAGCCAAAAACTTGCCTGTCTCTGCTGCCTCGTTGTAAAGGTTGCCATAGAAACGCGAAAGATTGAAGATTGATGGGATGGTTCTATTGAGCGTGTGACTCATCAAATTTTGCATGGAGATAGAAATGTAGTTTCTCCATGCTGTGGCCATTATTTATTGTGAACTAGATCCTGTGTAACAAGGCCAAGCTGTAAACGTGCAATTGAATTTTGCAAAATTTCTTTAGGATGATTGTACGTGTTTTAATGCTTATGTGAACACCACTTTCATACTTACCTGAGTTAAGTGGAACATAGTCATAGCTGTATTAGCTTGAATGAAAAATGGCTAGTCAGCAATTCTACACCAGTTGGTTCCAGATACATATATTCATATGTGGCAGTGATAGAAACTAATAATTGTAGCCCACTAGTCCTTGTAATGTTTCTTGTTTAGCACTGCATTACACAATATTCCAGCTAGATGGGTGTCTGTAAATAATTGAGTTTTACCAGACAATCCAGTGATTGATATCATGAGCATCAATCTACACACTTAGGATACAAAGACAAGTCAGAGAGCCTGTCCACCTGATCCAGTTAGTCGACTTCTACAGCAAGCATGGGTTGAGGGTGACCTATTCTAACCCGGTTGGTTGGTTTGTTGTTTAACGCCGCACTCAGCAATATTCCAGCTATATGCCGGCGGTCTGTAAATAATCGAGTCTGGACCAGACAATCCAGTGATTGATATCATGAGCATCGATCCACGCAATTGGGATTGATGACATGCATCAACCAAGTCAGCGAGCCTGACCACCCGATCCCGTTAGTCTCCTCTTACGACAAGCATTATAAGTCGCCTCTTACTGCAAGCATGGGTTGCTGAAGACCTATTCTAACCCAGATCTTCATGGATCATTATAGTGTTAAACCTTATCATGCTAATTGTGTTTAGTTGTATGAATTTAGTGAATGGTTGTGTGATCATTTCCATGTTTACATGATATATTCTCAATTGTGAACTATGGAATTTAAAATAACCAATTTCTCAATCAATTAGCATGATGTATACATCCCAGGGAGTTGAGAATGATAACTGGAAGACAAACATGACAAATGGACCCACTGGTCAGGAACAAATAAAACACATTTGAGCAGATATTAGTACCTGAATAACATGGATAAGTGCGGTATAGAAATTTATAATATAAGTGATTCTGTAATCATGATAATGTTTGATCATTACATGTTGTTACAGGGTAGGGGGCCCAGTCATCTAAGGCGCCGCAATTCGCTGTGCAGAGTTGCGTCCCTTGGGCACCCCAGAAACCTATGATTGTGGGTTCGAATCCCAGTTCGCCCTGATTATGTTCCTAGGTTTGTCAGCACCATACCCGTGCTCGTGGGTTTCACCGAAGGGGTGAACGTCTGAGACCTGCATCACTTCGGGCTTTCCTCCCACATTAAGCTGACACACCGCAATATAACTGGAATACTGTTAAAAGCGGCATTAAACCCAACTCACTCACTCACTCACTGTTACAGGGTTTGCTGATGAGTTATTGATTAACGTCAATCATGGAGACGTGTAACAATGTAACAATGTGTAATTTAATGTGGATACACTGAAAATGTATATTGTGCAGAAATGTATATGACCACAGTCACCGTCTTCCCCTTGTACATGTTGTAGATGTTATGCAATTGTTTTTGAAAAATGTTTTTGTACAGAAATAATAAGATGAGCTTTAGTAACATGAAGCTGAAGGATTATTACATCTCGTCTCTTAAATGAAGTAAACAGTTGTTGAACTGTCTTAATGCAATATTATAAAAAGAAACTCTCTTCATTCTCAGAAACTGCATCAGATTTGACTTGCCCACTATTATAGACTTGCATGGGCTGTATTGGATATATTTGTTTCATTTTTGTTGGACTACCCACCCAATCTTTTTCTATAACTAGGTCACTGTAAATTGTCACAGATATTTTTTTATTTTAACCTAAATTCAGGTTAGAAGTCCCATGTAGACCCAACTTTGAATTGGTCACGCTCACTTATTTGGTTGATGCATGTCATTGTATCCCATTTGTATAGATCGATGCTCATAATGTCAATCACCAGATTGTATGGTTCAAACTTGAATATATACTGTTGTGATGTAGGTGGAATATTGGTGAGTATGCTGTTTAATAAACAAACAATCAATCCAGGTCAGAATAGGTCCCCACCACCTCATGCTTGTGGAGCACTGTGTGGATCTGATGTCTGACCTTGTGGATAGTGTCAGATGGATTGTGCTGATGAAACCTTCACTGGCCCAGCCCAGACCCAGACCTAGTTATTTACAGGGCACTGTAGTCCTGCACCCTGACCGTGGAATATATTTATTTTATGAAAAAATAATAATCTAGAAATGCATACAAAAGCAAGTCTAGCCAGCTCAAGCTAGCTCTATTCCAGCATAGGGACTTTTTTTATTTTTAGAGTCAAGAAGGATATTGTGTAATATAAGATTTCAGAGACTAAATGTTAGTCTAAGGGCACTGTAGCCTCGCTCCAAGGCTGTAGTGAATAATATGTCCATGGATGAATAGTAATTTTACCTTATGTTTGGCATGTCTAGATAGCAGACAATACTAAGAATGCCAGTTTTTTTATTGGGACAACCTATTCTTATTATTTATATTATCTAGAAATTATGATTTTTAAATGATAATTATTGCTTTAGAGACTTGTGCAAGTCTAGGGGCACTACAGTCATGATGGTATAACTGTAATATTCCTGACTGGTGTGGGAAACGACCTTCACTCATGTTGTATAAGACCAGATGATGTTGCTGTTTGCGGATGTTGTTTTTGAATATTTTTCTTGCTGTTTCAGTTTGTGCTGCTGTTCGAGTTGTTCATTCCTTTGGTGCTGTTTGTCATCCTGCTTATGATCCGAAAGAAACTTCCAGCCAATCCACAAGGCACATGTAAGTCACATGACCTCACTCAGCCAAGACCTGTGAAGTTCCAGGTGGAGAATAGGTTTTCAGCAACCCATGCTTGTCGTAAGAGGCGACTAACAGGATCGAGTGGTCAGGCTCACTGACTTACTTGATGCATGTCATCCAATCCCAATGTGTAGATCAATGCTCATGATGTCAAGCACGGGATTGTGTGGTCCAGATTATTTACAGACTGCTATCATCGGTCATATAGCTGGAATATTTCTTAGTGTTGGGTTAAACAACAAACCAACCAACGAACCGGGTTAGAATAGGTCACCCTCAACCCATGCTTGCTGTAGACTAATTGGATCAGATGGTCAGTCTCTCTGACTTGTCTTTGTATCCTAAGTGTGTAGATTGATGCTCTTGATATCAATCACTGGATTGTCTGGTAAAACTCAATATTGTGTAGTGCAGTGTTAAACAAGAAACATTTCAAGGACTAGTGGGTTAAAATTATTAGTTTCTATCGCTGCCACATATGAATACATATATGAATACATGTGTCTGGAACCAACTGGTGTAGAATTGCTGACTAGCCATTTTTCATTCAAGTTAATACAGCTATGACTATGTTCCACTTAACTCAGGTAAGTTTGAAAGTGGTGTTCATATAGCTGGATTATTGCCTTAAACAACAAACAAACTAATTTACAAATCACTCAGCCAATCATTGATACTTTTGTAAATCACATGACCAATTTAAAAAGCACATAGTCCCATGACCCCAAAGAACTAATACAAAAGGCAAAATAATGTCACATAACCTCAAACAACCAATACACACTTAGGTCACATGACCTCACACTCCCTGAGGCACAGACTGTCAGATATGACATTCATTCCCACAACAGAGATTTTATATTAGTTGTTTTTCGGGACATGTAATTCTGTATCCTAGAGCTCAATAGGCATAAAAATTGAAAATGGATGCCAAAAATAGGTATATACCTGTTGTTTAGCACAAGTGAAGATGATGAGAAAGTATTTTTATTGCTGTTACGTTGAAAATATTTGATGCATCAAACTATTTAAAAATAGACCTGTGAGGCTGTGCAGTGTATGCATGACTTCTCAGAAAATAGTAGGACTCTGTCCGACATGTCTCGCTTCCATGAAGAAATCAATCAATGGCTGTGTTTGTTTGTGACTATGCCATGACTACTTACCTCACCTGTGGCCGACATTCATATAGACAGTTAGTTTCGGCTTGCTGTGGGAGTTTTATTGCCCGATAAATATTGAATGACACCTGTGTCATGTTGACATGATGGGAGCAAGCCAGTTGGTTGCTGGGTGTTCTGTTTGCTGGGATACAGAGATTGCAGGTCAACTCTCATATTCAGTGTCAGATCCTGATGAGGATGAAAAAAAGGGATGCACACTGTAGCCAAGTCATGTGAAAACACACACTTTGTAGGTGGCATGTAAGGTGTATAGAAATCATACTGCCAGTGATAATCTGGATTTCCTTTTTTCTCCTGACCGCATTTATACACTGTGCTCAGTGTCTCATGTTTAAAGCATAGTGTATTCAATGCGAATGTGCTGATTTATCAAGTTTCTTGTTTGACATTTAACATCTTTAAGGAACCATGATATTCAGTAATTGATAGTGTGAGCAATTTTTGCCCAAGGGATGCAACTCTGCACAGCGAATCGCAGCGCCTTAGACGACTGGGCCACCCGTACCCCCACCAGTGATTGATATTTTGAGCCATACCATTGGGATACGATGACAATCCATTAACCAAGTCACTGAGCCAGACCACCTGATCCATTATGTCGCTTCTTCCAACCAGCATAGGTTGCTAATCTAACCCCGACTCCCCATGGGGGTAAACAAAAAGGAGTATTGCAGACAAAAACTGTGGTGTTCATAATGTTAATCTCTGGATATTCTTGCTCAGATTTGATTGTTTATAGGCAGCCATCATACCCGTGCTCGCGGGTTTCACCGAAGTGGTAAACATCTGAGACCTGCATCACTTCGGGCTTTCCTCCCACATTAAGCTGTTAAAAGCGGCGTAAACCCAACTCACTCACTCACTCGCTGAATCACTGGATTGCTGTCCAGACACGATTATTGACAGGTCGCCATCATATAGCTGGAATAATGCTGAGCGTGGCGATAATCAAACACACACACATGTTGTGTGTCATCATACTCCACTGAGGTGGATGGTTGCTTGTGCTATCAAAGGTTGGTGTAAGTGGCCCAGGATTGATAATTTAATCCTCCATGGTCATGGTGTATGGAATATAGTTGATGCATCCTGTAACAATATTAACTCACTCATTTCTAGCTCAACTGAAAACATTTTAGAAAAGTGATATACAATCAAATTTACTAATTCAGTTATAACCCCTCAAATTCATCATCCGATTAATCAAAACAGATCATTACATATCAATAATGAAATTAAGTGATCCAGTCCTTTGTACGAGATACTCTACATATTCACTGACATCTCTTGGTCAGTCAGGCATTCTACACTAGATCATCAGTATCGCTGACAACCCTAATAGAGACTAAGGCTGCACACATAAGGCTACACTCTTTATATATTACAGTGGATGGATGAACTTGTCCTGGGCACACTTGTACAAAGCGATCTTAGCGCTACAACTATTGTAAGCCTATGTTAAAGTGTGTGTGTGTGTGTGGATTTTTGTAGGTGCTTTTATTTCTAATCCATCAATACAAGAGGGGACAGACAAATGACATAACTTTTAACAATTTCATTTACTTCCTGTTCGAGACTTTTTTGGTCAGCCAATGTCTAAACTCAAAAATTACAAGTGTGTCCTTAAATGCTCAGCCAAATGCTGGTGCAAAATGTTTGTTCTGCAGTTAAACAAATGTTCGTTGTGGCTTCTGGAAAGATTTATTCTTGTAAAGGGTGAGATTTATTCCTGTAAAGGGTGAGATTTATTCCTGTAAAGGGTGAGAAACTTTTGGTCCCAAGATTGGATGTTGTATAAATATTGCATAACGTTCTTAGGCGCGCAAAATTTACCCCCTAGGAGCAAGAAATCTTTTGAAGTGGAAATGCTGTATTGATTCTGTGCCAAGTGCTGATTTTTATCTCATGGAGACAGGTCTTTTGAATTTTTCTGAGAAAGGAAACAAGAATAGAGTGTTCTGTTGGCGTTGATCTGATTGTCAGATTTCCATTTATATTGCCTTATGTTGGATTACCTTATATATCATGATGTATATTACCCAAGGAATATATTTTTAAAACATTTTTCTTAACTTACAAACATCGGAATTTCTGCACTTGTACACAGTAGATGTTTTCAAAATAAAAATATTATTTCAAAATAAGTTCATATTTATGTGTAGGCATAAGTTCCAAGTTGGTAGTGAGGTTGCTTTGTTTAAGGTTTAATAGTTCATGCTTATACTTATGGCCAAAGAAAGATAATTTATTGTTCCTGGTATATTTGGTATGTTTAGGATGTATATGTGTTCACTGCACAACTTACCTTGTATCAGAACATATTTGAAGGTGATGATTATTCAGAAAGTGTTGAAACATGTTCATATGACTACAAGTGGACCAGACAAAACAAGTTTTCTTTTTACAGCTATATGTTTGCAAATAGTCTCACAAGGGAATGTAGCCTGTGGAACAATATTGAACATGTTGAATGACTTTTCACCTTTAAGGAATTTTACAGCACTTGATCATGTTGATTGTGCTTCAGTAAGGTACTGATAAAACCATTATTTATTAGAATACAAAATGTGTATCACAGAAACTAACAAAAGTGAGCATCCTGATGGTCACACTGTCAAACTAAGTAAACAAAGTTAGACAAAAACTAAACTTGCTGAAGAAGCTAAATAAATACAAATTCAATGAAACTGGAAAAAGAAATTTAAGATCTTCAGAATTTCCTGTTTCCCCTGATTGCAGGGGCTTGTAGGGAGTTATAAGGATCCTTTCAGCTCATAATCTTTGTGAATCATCAATTTGAATAAGTAACACCTATTATATTTGTATTCAAAAGTAAACAGCTTAGAGTTAGATTTTTTAAAATAGGTTTTGGGAATTAGATATTTTTGTAGATTTGGTCTTATTTTTAAGAATTCAAATTATTTTGACCTTTGCAGAAATGAAATTGATTGATATTGATCTGGTGGTGATAAAGGATCACATCTAGCTAAATGGGAAATAGAAAGTTTGGCTGGAGTTGTGGCATTTATCATGAACTATGTATAAACACTGTCTAGTGCTGCAGTATTGGCCCACAATGTAGGTGCAGACAGATGAATGCAGTGCCGAAGGCAGACTTGAATTATGCAATATGGATGACCTGGCTTTGTAGACCTGGCTTTGTGTTCGTGACATGGTGTGTTTCTCTCATGGGTCCTGAATCCATTCCCAGTACAACATCGAAGTCAGAGTCAGCGGAAACAAACAACACTGTGCATTCATGGGATTGGGTGAATGTTGTTTTATGCCCCTCTCATGTATATTGTTGTATAACAATAAACAAGCCAGGACCAGGCAAACAAGGGGATGACAGCATGAACAGCAATCTTCCTGTCAGGGCTGTTCGGGTACAGTTACCTACAGTCTGCCAGGACCAGGCAAACCAGGGGATGACAGCATGAACAGCAATCTTCCTGTCAGGGCTGTTCGGGTACAGTTACCTGCAGTCTGCCAGGACCAGGCAAACAAGGGGATGACAGCATGAACAGCAATCTTCCTGTCAGGGCTGTTCGGGTACAGTTACCTGCAGTCTGCCAGGACCAGGCAAACAAGGGGATGACAGCATGAACAGCAATCTTCCTGTCAGGGCTGTTCGGGTACAGTTACCTGCAGTCTGCCAGGACCAGTCTAACCAGAGGCTGACAGCATGAACAGCAATCTTCCTGTCAGGGCTGTTCGGGTACAGTTACCTGCAGTCTGCCAGGACCAGTCTAACCAGAGGCTGACAGCATGAACAGCAATCTTCCTGTCAGGGCT